CTGTGCTAAGCACTTTATACGTGCTGTGTGTCTTATTATCTTCACCACAACTTTATGAGAGAGGTGCTATTATCGTCCACGTTTAACACAGAAGAAATCGGCCCAGAGAAGATAGATAACTTCCTGAGGATCACAGGTAGGCAGTGGCAGGGCTGGGACTTGAACCCAGGGCTGTCTAAAACCAAAGCCTGGTGTTCTTAAGACAGAATGAGATCCATCTAGAGTCACATGGGAACTGAGCACGGGATCCTGAGCCTCATCTAAGGCTCTCTTCATCCATTCAAAGGCCACACCAGTGAGTTGGAATGCTTTGGAGATGGAGGTGTCATTGAGGGTGACTAAGTGTCACATGGAGGAGTATATGGGAGACATCTGGCATCCCTAGGCCCAGCCCGCCACAGCTGTCAACCAGGATCTATAACTGCTGGCATGTTCTTATGACAAATAAAATAGCATAATCTTTGAAAGCCATATAATGATGTAGGTGTATTACAAATAAGATGTTGACTCATAATTGATAGGCATAAATTACGAAATCCTTTGTATACTCTGCAGCATCATGTAAAAGTGTGCTCTCATCATTTTATGGTTATTGCTGTTGTTACCGCTCAGTTGGTGGTATGTCCAGGGAGCTTACCCTAGCCCAGATCGCAGTGGTTGTGCCTGCAATATCAAATGGCAGCTGAGAACATAACCTGACTTGAATGTTCTGTCCCCACTGGGTCCCAGCACCTGGAAGTATTTTAGTTTTGCATATGGATATATTACAGTAAAAGCCCAACGTGCAGACGAGCTAATTAACCAGGTGTGTTCAGCATTTGCCAGCTTGCCCAGTGCTGAAATCAGTCTTCATGTTCAACGTTGGTGGCCAGCAGCACTCCTGGGTCTTCAGAGCATTGTTAGAGAGACACTTAGAAACCAGCAGACGTGATGGAGGGGGTAGAGACCCACTCTCAAGTCCCAGGACAGGCGAGAGGCCAGGAAGCCAGCCACCAGCATCTGGAAGAGAAAGCCCACCAACTGCTGTGGGTTTCCTGGGCATTGCTTGTGGCCTTGCTAAATGGGATTACCCTGAGGAGCATCCAAATCCCATTGGCTCTCTAAGCCCAGTTTAAATCCCACTCGCTCCACAGAAGCCTTTCCTGACATTTCAGCTCCTGTCCTCTCCCCATCTACAGTCCTGTGGCATTGAACGCCTGTGCCATCCACTTAGGCACTGAAGTGTCCTGCCTTATACAAAAGGTCTTCCAAAAGTTCATGGAAAATGCATATTATTGAAAAAAATACAAGGATTTCAAAATTGTTTTAGCACCAAAATAAACGCATACTAACTTGGTATAACATCTGAACAGGATCTAGTTTGAGTCAGTAAGAAGGATAAGACATCAGTTGGAAAAGAGCCCCTATCAAAGCAACACAAATTCTGCTAAAATTGAAGCAAAAACAAACATCAAATTTGTAGAGAAGCTCGGGCAGGAGAATTGTGAAATTATTGATGCTTTACAAGAAGTTCATGGGGACGATGCCCCAAAGAAATCAGCGTTTACAAATGGACAGCTCATTTTAAGAAGGGATGAGATGATGTTGAAGACGAAGCCCATAGCAGCCATCCGCATAAATTTGCAAAGAAAAGGTTCATTTTGTTTGTGCCCTAACTAAAAAGGACCAGTGTTTTACAGAACTAACAGTAACCAACACCATAGACATCTAAGCTGGTTTAGCTTACATAATGTCGACTGAAAAATTAAACTTGAGCAAACTTTCCTTCCACTCAATGGGTGACAAAACCCTTCTGCCCAGGCCAGCTGCAGACAGGAGCAGAGCTTTCAATGGAACTTTCAAACAAGTGGGCTGAGATCCGGCCACTGCACTCCAGCCTGGGGGACAGAGCCAGACTCCGTCTCAAAAAAAAAAAAAAAAAAAAAAAAACAAGTGGGATCAAGACCCTGAAGGACTTCTTTGAAGAATTGTAACAGAAGGTGAAACAGGGCTTTTTCAGTATGATCCTGAAAACAAAGCACAATCAAACCAAGAGGTGGAAGTGGTCCAATCAAAGCAAATGTGGACCAGTCAAGAGCAGATGTCATGGCAATGGTCTTTTGGAATGCTCACGGCGTCTTGCGTGTTGACTTTCTGGAAAGCCAAAGAACAATAACAACTGCTTATTATGAGAGCATTTATTATGAGAAAGCCAAAGCATTAGAAGAAAAACATCCCCCACCCCACCCCCCCCCCAAAAAAACCTGGGAGAGCTTCACCAGAGAGTCTTCCACCAGGACAATGCTCCCGCTCATTCTTCTCTTCAGACAAGGACAATTTCAAGAGAGGTTTGGTGAGAAATCACTAGGCATCCACTTTACAGTCCTGATTTGGCACCTTTTGACTTCCCTTTGTTTTCTAATCTTAAATATTTAAAGGGCACTCATTTTTCTTCAGTTAATAATGCAAAAAAGACGGCATTGACATGATTACATTTCCAGGACCCTCATTTCTTTAGGGATGGACTACATGGCTGGTGTCATTGCTTAAAAAAGTATATCGAGCATGATGGAACTTATGTTGGGAAATCAAGTTTGTATTTGTAATTTTCGTATTTTAATTCCATTTTTATGAACTTTTTGGAGTCCCCTTTTACTGTTAGCTACATATTTTTGTTTAGTTTAACCTTTACTTTCACATTCCTGGCCGCCTGTGACCTCTCCCAGTGATGATTGTGGACTTGGGACATCATATGTGGACTTGTGACATCTCTGATGACCTATCTGGTTGGTAAACTGTAACTTGTTCCAGACTGGGTTTAAGGGAGCTGTTTCATTACTATAAGTACGTGTGATATTCTTTATTAACTTTTCATGTGGCTTTGCAAGCTGTCTAGGCATCAAAAACTCACACCCTTTGAGACGCAGGCTGGTCTCTTGCAATCTCAGCCTCCATCTTAGAATAGCTGTCTTACTTACCTTGGCTGTACTCAGTGACAGCGTCTTGCTGGGATGTTGAGTGAAGGGCTAGTGCCACAGTCCAAATTAGCTCCCTTTCATACTAGCTGCTCAGATAATACTCTTTACTTTCCTTTTACTGCAGTTACCATGATTTATATCATATATTCACTCATTTGTTAAAGCCTTTCCCCCAACCCGCTGGGAGACCTATTTGCTGCTTCACCATATCCCGTGCACCCAGTGCCTGGAACCTGGCAGGGGGTCCGTAAAGACTAGATCAATAAATGCATGAATTAATTAGCATGGTCACTCTAGGAGATGGCAAGGGTTGGGAGAAGAGAGTTCAGATCTGGGGCTCTGTGGCTTTCTGAATTCCTCAGCTGTAAAGAGAAGTAAGGTCTGCTACAGATGGGCAGTGGAATAATGGAAAATACATTGGCCTAGAAGTCAGGGACCTGAGGGTCAGGCATTCTCCTGCATTTTCTATGTAACCTCAAGAAAGTCTTGTGAGGGTTGAAGGAGATGTTTTTGTGAAATTGCTTTGTAAACCATAAAGAGATATGGTAAGATGCTGTTCATCATCCTAAGATCTGGCCCCTGCCTATTTGTCCAAATGTATTCCTTATTAATTTAATTTAGCTAGGCCAATCTTCTCATTAAAAAATATTTTTCTCTCCTTAATGCCAAACAATGCATTGTAATAACAAAGATATCAGAAAATTCAGAAGAAAATAAAAATCATCTCCTAAGGTTACCATCTAGAAATAACACTGTTCACATCTTGTTTATAGTCTAAACAATTTTTTTCTAAATGAGTTTCCCAGGTGTCAGCAGTGGGGACAAGACAGGGCAGCTTCCCTCTCCTGTTTCCCACTGCGCTGGCTTTGCTGAGGACTGCTGCCTGGGAAAACACCAGAGAGTGAAGTCTCCCCATTTGTTTGCTTCCAGCATCCTGGTAGCAATGCCAGTGGGTCAGGGGACAAGGGTGCCAACAGGTGGCTTAGAGAGGGGCTTACCTTGCTCCAGCACTTTTCATTATCTAAAAGTGCTTATTTGGTCTGCATATTTTTATTTGTCTCTGGAAATAACTGGCCACTGGACTATAAGCCCCACAAGGACAATACCTTGCAGGATTTGCCTGTTGCTGCCTTTGGCACCTAACAAAAGTGCCTGCACAGAGTGAATATTCATTGAACAAAATGAATGAGCACAAGCGCTGTGTTACCTCATATAGGATAGGAAACACCTAATGAATATTTGCCTCCCATGAATTGTGCATATGAGAGGCACAGAGGCCAGATTCCTTGGTGATATACATCTGGACTTCCAGGTCTAGCTGTGGTTTGAGCTTTGGCGTTATACAATAGATAATCCCAATCCCCTTTTTGTAATCACTACTGCTCCGTTCAGTCATTTCAAGCATGTTCTCAGACCATGCTACTTAACATGTGGCCAAAGCATTCTGTAAAACTGCTTTCCAGGTTCAGTCATAATACTCCCAAACTGTCCTGTGCAAGGAAGCCTATCCTCTCCCTGTCCCAAAGCCTGTCCCTCCTCCATTGTCTTTCAGCTTTCCCTCCTTATGTAGCCCCTAGGCTTTCTTGTACCTCCTACTGCATTTCTTTCTTAGGGAGGGCAGTGATTCTTGCCACAGTGCTTACATTGCTGTCTTCAAAGGTGAGCTCCTATGGCGTAGACAGCATCTGTGGATTTGGATGGAAAGAATTTCAAGAGCACTTGCTTGGAGCGGGAGCTCTGTGGGGGTCAGTGTCCAATTAACCCTGAGGCTACGCCCTTCTCATGCACAAGGGCCTGCTCCCATCAAGCTGGACATAACCTCTGGATTCAGGGTCACTAAACAGACTTATCACTGCTGTTCCTTCATCTTCCCTCCTCTTCTCCAGAACCTGGAAGAGGATGAGTTAGGCCTGTTTTCTTCCAGAACACTGCAATGCGGCAGGAGGGATGTTTCCCTTGTTTTCCCAAAATTCCCATAAAGCCACTTCTGTTGTAAGCCTCAGTGGAAAACAAGGTGTGATGCATCTCTTGTGTATTTCCCAGGTGGAATTCAAGTCACCAGTGGCCAAAGTACCCTCCAGGTGTGAAGAGTTGCAGGTCCTCTGAGGAGCCAGGAGCTGCAAGGTGAGTGAGCGAACAAAAGGCGACAGGCTGCAGAGTACTAGATCTGCCCCCACCCCGGACCCCAACTCCAGGCCCTGCCTTGTTAGCACTATTGTAGCTGTTTTTTAATAGTCATGAGGATCAGCAGCGGGCCCTTAGATTTGAGAAACAGAGTTCGTCAGCCTTCTTGAGGACAGTTTTAAAAATACCAGATGACAGAGGGGCTATTCCACCTTGTTGGGGTATCGCTTAAGTTCATTTAAGGGAGGCCTCTGGGAGAGAGGGGTCGCCACTTTGCCCAGCTCTTTTACATGTGGGCACAAGGGTCTGGAACCTTTACTAGCCTCTCTCTGCAAAGAGCTGCTCCTCAGCCACTGGTCCCTCACAGAGCCAGTTCCACTGTGGAGCCTGTCCAATCCTCATTTCCCTCTAGCCTCCCTTGGCAATGAGGAGGGTGTGTTTGCATTGGTGTATAGCATCACTGTTCACTTTCACATCTGCTGTCTCATTTGAGCTACTTCCCGTGGGATAGTGATATAGTAATAGTTTGGGTATTTATCACTGCCCACATCTCATGTTGAATTGTAATCCCTGGTTTTGGAGGTGGGCCTGGTGGGAGGTGATTGGCTGATGGGGGTGAATCCTCATGAATGGCTTAGCACCATCGCTCATGGCTTGGTGCTGTATTTACCATAGTGAGTGAGTTCTCATGATATCTGGTCATTTAAAAGTGTGTGGCACCTCACCCCCAACTCTCTGTCTCTCTCTGTTGCTCCTGCTTTGCCATGTGACGTGCAAGCTCCTGCTTCACCTTCTGCCGTGAGTAAGAGCTCCCTGGGGCCTCCCCAGTAGCCAAGCAGATATTGGCACCATGCTTGCTTAGCCTGCAGAACCATATACCAATTAAACTTGTTTTCTTCTTAAATTATCCAGTCTCAGGTATTTCTTTATAGCAATGCAAGAATGACCTAATACAGATACGCAGGGAGGAAACTGTTACCCCACTTTAAAAAACAAAAGAAGTGGCCAACTTCCCAAGGTCACAGGGTGGCGAAGTTCACACTTGAACTTTATTTTTGATGCCTGAACCTTTCTATGGTACTATGTTCCTGCTAGCCTCTTGACAGATGGGTTTGAGACAGGACAAGAATAGGGAAGGGAGAGGGAATGAAGACTAGAGGTTTGATGGGGAAATAATTGGGAACTCTTGGCTAAGATACCAAGTGGGGTTATCTCTGCAGGCTAGATTCATTTTTGTCTTTGTTTTCCTCTCATTTTCTACCAGCCACTAAAATCCATGAGAATAATGTGCTATCCAAACTCATAGTGATTCATACAAGACTATGGCTTGGAGAAAATGTCGAAATTTAGCCCTTTGGATGGCCTTTTACTCCACCTCAGTATAACATCTTGTATGTTAAACTCTAATCCTGAATTTGTTACCAAGAGTGGGGTGCCAGTGTAATAAATCCCTGAAAATGTGGATGTGGCTATGGAATGGGTAATAGGTAGAGGCTGGAAGAATTTTGAGGTACATGCTAGAAAAAGCCTACATTGCCATGAACTGACTTTTTTTTTTTTTTTTTTTTTTTTCTGAGTCGGAGTCTTGCTCTGTCACCCAGGCTGGAGTGCAGTGGCGCAATCTTGGCTCACTGCAAGCTCTGCCTCCCGGGTTTGTGCCATTCTCCTGCCTCAGCCTCCCGAGTAGCTGGGACTACAGGCGCCCGCCACCACGCCCGGCTAATTTTTTGTATTTTCGGTAGAGACGGGGTTTCACTGTGGTCTCGATCTCCTGACCTTGTGATCCGCCCACCTTGGCCTCCCAAAGTGCTGGGATTACAGGCGTGAGCCACCGCGTCCGGCCGCCATGAACTGACTTTTAAAGGTGGTTCTGGTGAAGGCTCAGAAGGAGAACAGAAGAGCTGTAGAGAAGGCCTCAATCTTAAACAAGATGTAAGTCATCCTACATTGGTAGGAATATGTGTGATAAAAGCCTTTCTGATGAGGTCTCAGATGAAAATGAAGAACTTGTTATTAGACACTAGAGGAAAGGCCAGCCTTGTTATAAAGTGGCAAAGAACTTGGCTGAGTTGTGCTTACATCAGTCCTTTGTAGAAGGTAGAACCTGAGAGTGATGAAATTGGATATTTGACTGAGGAAATATCTAAGCAAAGTTTAAAGGAGTGGCCTAGTTTCTCTTGACCACTTACAGTAAAATTTGAGAGGAGGACTATGACTTAAGATGACATTGCGAGTCAAAAGCAGAGAACGTAAAGATTTGGAACATTCTCAGCTTATCCCTTTAGAGATGGGAACACCTGTCATGCCCCTGTCCCATCATTGTATTTTGGAAGCACGTAACCTGTTTGATTTCACAGGTTCACAGCTGGTGAGGAATTTGTCTTAGAATGAATGATACCGAGTCTCAGCTGTATCTGATTTACATGATATTTACATGAGATTTTGGACTTTCTGTCTTTGAGTTTATGCTAGAACGAGTTGAGACTTTTGAGGCTGTTGGAATGGAATGAGTGTATTTTGCATGTGAGAAGGACATGAGTTGGGAAAATCAGGGTTGGAATGCTATGGACTGAATAACTATGTCACTTTAAAACTCATTATGTTGAAACTTAACCTCCCAAGTGGATAGAGTAGGAAATGGGGCCTTTGAGGACTCTAATGGGATTAGTGCCCTGATAAAAGAGGCCCTAGTAAACTTCCTTTTTTTTTTTTTTTTTTTTTTGAGGTGGAATCTCGCTCTGTCGCCAGGCTAGAGTGCAGTGACACGATCTTGGCTCACTGCAACCTCCGCCTCCCGGGTTCAAGTGATTCTCCTGCCTTAGCCTCCCAAGTAGCTGGGATTACAGGCATGCATCACCATGCCCAGCTAATTTTTGTGTTTTTAGTAGAGTCGGAGTTTCACCATGTTGGCCAGGATGGTCTGGATCTCTTGACCTCGTGATCCACCCGCCTTGGCCTCCCAAAGTGCTGGGATTACAGGTGTGAGCCACTGCACCTGGCCAACTTCCCATCTTCCTTACCATGTGAGAACAGTATGAGAAGTTGCAGTCTGCAACTCAGAAGAGGGCCCTCACCAGAACCCAACCATGCTGGCACCTGATCTCAGACTTCCAGCCTCCAGAACTGGGAGAAATAAATGTCTATTGTTTATAGGCCATCCAGTCTATGATATTTTGTTATATCAGCTGGAATAGAGTGAGATATTAAATACCGGTAAGACTTAGCACAGACAAACGGAAAGGGCATGCCAGATGACTGAGCTATATATTGGAAGATGCCAAGGCACAAAAGAGCTGAGAGAACAGGAAATAATTTGGAAGGAAGTGAATGTGGTAGGAGAAGAGGGCGATTACTCTAAAGAAGTAGTAGTGGTCCCATGTGTTTAAGATTGATACTGAAAACAGTGGGGAGGCATGATCAGGTCTCATTTTAGACAGATCTTCCTAGCAGTCTTCTTAGGGCTTTGCTTAACCGTTTTCTGGAAAGCAGTTTAGTAGTACACATTAGAAGCCTTTAAAATGCGCTTGCAAAATACCTCTGGTTCAATCATGTTATAAATCTGGGAACGATAATAATAACAACCACCTACCATGTAGTCCATATTGTATCAGGTATTTTCGATATGTTGGGTGCATTATTTTTGTTTAACAACAATTCTGCAAGAATCATTAGCCTCATTTTACAGATAAAGAAACCAAGGTTTTATTTACTTTTTAACTTTTTTTTTGAGACAGAGTCTCGCTCTGTCACCCAGGCCAGAGTGCAGTGGCACAATCTTGGCTCACTGCAACCTCCCCCTCCCGGGTTGAAGTGATTCTCCTGCCTCAGGCTTCTGAGTAACTGAAATTACAGGCTTGCACCACCATGCCTGGCTAATTTTGTAGTTTTAGTAGAGACAGGGTTTCACCATGTTGACCAGGCTGGCCGCGAACTCCTGACCTCAGGTGATCCACCCACCTCAGCCTCCCAAAGTTCTGGGATTATAGGCGTAAGCCACTGCGCCCGGCCAGAAACTGAGGTTGTAAAGAGTCAGGCCGACTTAAGATTAAATTCATGCTCTGTCATTAATTAGCTGTTTTCCTGCAATAAATTACTTAACTTTTTCTGAAACAGCTTCCTGTGGTGCTACTGTAAAGAATAATGCAAAGCAGATTTAAATAAAAGCTCCTCTTTATTGGATTATCCACTCATTTAGATTATCTCTACCATAGCTGACTTTCATTTTCTCAAACATTTGAGAGAAGCTTCGGCTTCAAAAATTAAGTAAAATGAGTCAGAATTGTATGGTGTAGAGAATGACTGGAGAGTAGTTTTATTTTTGGGGACCACCCTGAGAGTTGTTTGTGCCTACAGTTTTTATTGCACACACACACGTGGCTCTTCTCACCTCGTCTACCTCTGCTGTTTGTATGTTGTCCCCTGCTAGACTGTCAGTGCATTGTGAAAGACCATAGTTGTAAATATATTTCTGTATCTCCCACAGCAGCTCCCTGGTTCAGTGCCTTCCACATAGCTGGAGAAATTGCAACAATTTTTCCAGAAAGAGTTGGAACATCATAATCCAAGAGAAAGAGAGGCTTTGAGAATAGAGAGCTAAGAGTTAAGGGCATAGGAGCAGACACAGAAAACATAGATATTTAGGTCTGGAGACTCGAAAGGGAAGGTTTGGAACTAAGGGAATCTGGGAGAATGTATTGCCTAATAAATATACAAAATGTCGTCATTAATGTTGGGTCAAGAGAATTATCTTAGATTGGGCTTCCAGAAAGCCAACCCTGAGAGGAAGATTCATATTCAGGCAATTTATTAAGAAAATGCTCCCAGGAGAATAGATAAGGGATGGGGAAGCAGGATGGGAGAGAGGAGGAAGCCACACAGAGTGAGATCTCAGCCAAGTTCCAGCCTCTGTCCCCACAAAAGTGTTCTAGAGTGTAAATCACAACTCAGAGTTTGTCCCCACTGGAGGCAAGAGTACTGGGCTTTCATAATTCCACGCCTGT